GGGGTAGGGTATCATTTATGCTATAGAAAACGTAGTTGTGATTATTTTTGTAAAGATATTAGTATATTTGGCATAATCATTGGCTGCAAAGCCCAGTTTAGGGAGTCCGGTTGTTTAGGAGCTAGAAAAAATGGACTGATATCAACCAAAATCAATAGGGTTTGTTCTATAGTAATACGTGTACCAAACTTCATTAAATTATCTTCAAAATTGTGACCTGTAGTTTGAAAACTAGGTTTACATGGACAGATAGCCAGACGGACATGGCTTAATAGACTCGGAAAATGATTCTGAGCCGATTGTTATGCATTACAAATATCAGCACAAATCCTATATACCTTCCACCTTAAAGTGGTGGGGTGAGTTATCTAAAAAATTTCCAAAAAGATCCTTAATAATTTTTGAAAATTTTAAAAAATTGTTGGTACCGAAGTTACATCCAAAATATACCTATTTTTATGTTAATTTCAAGACAAATGTTTTCTAATCGCATATTTGATATCAAAAAATATCAACCCAGTTCATATGAACCGTCTTGTTTTAATTAATTTTATAATGTGTTTAAACAACCCCTCCCCTAATATGGACAATACAGTCAAAAATCTAATGAGTCCCATTTTAGGGATTTTTCAAACCTATTTAGGAATTCCAGAATTTTTTATTTCTTCAAAATTTTAAATTTTTTTGAAAAAAAATATGTACTAAATTTCCTATCCATTGATATAATATGTCCATCTTGTATTTTGTACATTGAATAGTTAATGTCCTGGAATTAGAAAAAAAGGGTCGTTTTAAACCCAAGAAAGTCTACTTTGGTGAACTGTCTAGAGTAGATCAATGAGGTTCAAATTCAAAAGAAAAAAGGAAACATGTAACGAATCACAAACATTTTTTCCAAGATTATAAACAACACAAAATTTCTTCCAATTGGCAATATTTATCTGCAATTATTTACACAGGATTAAAAGAAAACACCCACAACCAAATCAATAAGTAAGGGGAAAGGGATTGAAACTTAATTAAATTTCAAATATCTAAAAAAGTGCTTCACAAATACCAAATACAGAATCGCAATCACAAGCAAAAATTAAAAAAAAGCAAATAATGAAAAATAACTGATAAAAATAACTCCGTGAAGTATCGAATGACTACTGTAACTGTCTTTAATATTTGTATTTGTAAAATGATTTGTGTTTACTTGAACATATGCCCCTGTTACCAGGTTACCTGTCCATGCTGGTGAATTGACAGTTAAGAGTGGGATCCGGTAGCATTAACCTGTATATGTGTGAGTGTGTGGATTTGAAATATAAATTTGATACTTTATTTTTATTTGTTTATCTTGTTTGATGATGATGATGAACAACATTAAAAAGACAAATACAACTCAAGAGGTTGACTTAAGAAGCAAAAGAAGTTTTAAAAAGTGCTTCTACAAAACTGTTAAAGTTGTTGCTGTATAAATTTATTTAAGAAAAGAAAAACAATATTGTTTTTTAAGAAAAAAATTAAAAAATGTTTACACACTTTAACTAACAAACTTTATTTCTTGTTTGTTTTCATTTTAGGCTCCAAACGTGCTCGCCTCTCTAATGAAACCGATCAAGATACCGGCTCAGAATCTGCCCCCAGCAGTCCACATCCTAAAGGCTCCAGTTATAACAACAATGGCAATCTCTCACCTGCACGCACTGGACCACCAAGTTCCCCTGAATCCGATTTGGATGTAGATTCAGCTCCAGATGAGGCTACTCCTGAAAATCTTAGTCTGAAGAAAGAAGATTCCACCTCACCTCCGCATACGCCCTCCAATGACAGCATGCATATGTTGAGATCTTTTAGCAATGGCAATGCTCAAGGTTTTATGCCCTATCATCATACACAGTTCTTAGCAGCGGCCGCAGCCAGTGCTCATTCACATGCCCAACATGCTCAACACTCGCCTCATCATCCTCAACAGCCACAAATGCCACCACAACATCCCTCGGCCAGCCAACAACAACGTTCTCCAGTCGATGTGCTTATGCGTGTGTTTCCCAATCGCCGAAGAAGTGATGTAGAACAATTATTGCAGCGTTATCGAGGAGATGTTTTGCAAACCATGGAAGCCATGATTTCGGGAGAGGACATTCTAACAAGTTCCACAAACTCACCTCCCAATGTACCACCTTCACCACCATTTCCTTTGAAATCAGCTTTCTCACCTTTAGTTCCTCCGGCTGCTGTTTTCGGTTCACCCACCCACAGATATCCTCCATTTATGCAAGCCCACGCTAAACGTTTCTTAACAGCACCCTATGCCGGTACCGGCTATTTGCCGGGTGTTATAAATCCAGCAGATGTTGAACAGTCTGAATCGAATGGTGGTGCGTCAGTGGATCGTAATAGCAATGCTGGAGATTCACAAGATTGAGATTTCGGTTTAGCCGGTGGTGAGCACAACGGCATGTTTAGACCATTTGAGTAGCGCTGGCGCAATTTGGATTCGGACTAAGTTATCCACAATGAAACCGATACCATACATGAATGACAAGCTGTACATAATCATAATTAAGACTCACAGACAAATTATTTAGGGAACTTAATATTTTATAGGACAAATTGTGTAAAAGAAGAAGTATTTGCAAAGTGGATGGAATCTTCTCTAACTTTAGTCGATCATAAATATTCTTTAGTACATGTTACTTACTTCTAATGTTAAATAGTAATTGTTGCTTAAAAAAATAATTAAATAATAATAATTTAGTAGAACTTCAAAATATACGTACATAAAAACCTACAAATTACGCACATTAATTGTAATTTGTTACAAATAACAAAACGAATAAAATTATATCATCTGTATTATATAAATTTAAATTGACCAGTGTTGTATTCCATTATATTGAAAACAAAAAAACAAACTAAGATAAAAGATATTGTAAAATATTAAATTGGTTAAGAATGCCAAACAAATTAAGTAAATTTAATAATGAAAATTATATATTGCGATATTTACTCATAATTAAATAGTTATTACTTATTGTTAAGTATTTAAGTAACAAATTTATTTGTAAAAAATTAAAAAAAAAAAATTAACAAAAATAATAAAGAAACTGAACAAATAAATCTCAATACATACTGTGTTAAAATAAAATTATCAATAAAATATTTTGGGTCTTTTATATCGTTATGTAGAAATAGGTTGGAAGGACCATTCGAAAATAAAAAATTCATGGAAAAGATTTAATGAAAATTTAATGAAAAAATTTATATAAACTAAAAGTTTAAACTCGGGTGCAAACTTATTCAGTAGTATTAAAGTACTATTAAAGACTGTATTGGTACTACACTAAGACAATAGAAAGCTTCGGCACTAGTTCCCAAACATCTTCTAGAAACAAGAAGAAGCAGAATCTTATATTCCTTTTAGATGTGTAATTGGAGCCAGTACTTAACACAATAGCTTGCAGATAAGCAATTTTTATTCAGTTATTAGTGAGCGAAGAAATAAAAGTATAGCCAGTCGTGGTCGACTATATACCCTTCACCAGTCCCTTCACATCCATGGACGTTATAACGTCCATGGATATTATCACACGCCACCCTTGAATAGTACCTTGGTTCCGATATATTTATGGACGATAAACTAATTTTCTGAAAGAAGCTTTATATAGGGACTAGGGGCAAATATGGACCGATTCCGATAAAATTTGATTCATATATTTATATAATATTTATTTATGCTGAATTTCATCGCAATATTAGTGTTTAGAAGTAATTTTCTGAAGGAAACTTTGTATGGGAGCTAGGGTCAAAAGAGACCCGATCACTATGTAATAACACTACTTCTATGTAACCAGGACGGTATGTTGTAGTCATTGAAATGTATGGTAGTGGTTACAAGTAAAAGACATTACCAAGTTTTTCCTGAGAAAATAACTACGTATGTATTATAAACAATATACTGCCTACGACGAGACCCCTACTTTCAAGACCCCTAAACATGCCCAGGAGTGTTTATAAAGGCCAAATTCAAATCTTTAACTCGAAAACACTTCCATTACATAAATTTGAAATTTTATTCTAAACTTACAGTTTATTTCTACTGACCAGCTTTATTTCTACTTACATCGACAATTTAGCAATACAATTACAACCATAATCTACTAAGCCTTAAACAATGAAACATTTCGAAAATGAATTAAAATTTTAGACTAAGATTTAATTTTAAAAAACCAACTGCCCCTGTTTTAATAACCGGCTTGCGTTCAAAGATCCGCAGAACCCACTCTTTTGTGAATATTCCAAACCAAACAACTGCATACCAATTGACTTCCCAAATAAATCCTCAATGGCAAATATGTATTAGATATTCGCACAAAAGGATTTTTCATAAATTACAATTACAGTGTAAAATTTATATGTATTTGTATTGTTGCGAATATTTATTTATTTGTTTATTAATTTCTAAATAAGTAATTTTATAAACAATACAATGGTATGTATCTATTGAAAGTCCGTAACCCGTAACTTCATAGTCTCTCCGGTAGCTAAATTCAAAAAAAATATAAAACAATAAAGCAACCAGCAACACAACACAAAAACAAAGACTTATAGTCAAAGTCATCAGCCATCGTACGATTGTGTAGTTGGATTTATGTATGAACGTATGTATGTTTATATTGTTGTGGTCATTGTTTGGAATGTTTTGTGGCATGAATTGATTGTTGGGTTTTGTTGGTCATGCCACTCGCCAAACAATGTCAATGTGTGCGTTTGTAAGCCTTATAAAATTCTTGTTGTTTAAAGTCACAACAATAGCAACAAGAACAACAACAATTAGAGTTTTATACAACAAACACAATTTCACTGGCTGACCTCTCCCGTTTTGACAATGAATTATTGGATAAGTTGTAAGGATATTTTTTTATTATATTTGTCTAATATGTATGTTATCTGTCTGTATTTCTGTATGGGTTGTAAGTAAGTACGAACTATCCTACACATATGAAATGTTGAACTCGTAAGAGATCTATGGGGTCAATTGGTAAATGATTAAAAAGTAATAAAATTAAATGATATACTTTTTGGATAGGAATGCTATAATAGAAAGTTTAAAGGTAGTTATCTTGAAACACGCAATTTGCCTTTAGTTGAAAACTTCTCTAAATAATCATTAGATATTTCGTATTTATAGCAATATTGTTATTAAAATCCATTCAAATAAGTTTCTAATACCCACTTTATTATTAAAGAATCGGTCCAAAATTGGTCAAAGTTCCAATATTAATCATGCTGTTTATATCCTACACCTCTATAGTGGGGAAGATATTATACGTTTGTGATGATATTTGTAACGTACAAAAATATTATTTCTACACCCACCTGAGAGAATACCAATCAGACTAGAATCATTTTCTGAATCGATTAAGCTACATCCGTCTTTCTGACGTTCATGTAAGCCTTGTAATCAAGGTCGCAATTCGATGAAATATAATATGCGTTATACTATTAAAATCGGTCTATCTAACCCCCCCATACAATCCATTTACTAAATTGTATATGTATCCATATTTGACCCTAGACCCTATACAAAGTCTCCTTAGAAAACCATTATGAATATTACCTATATTTCTATCTTATCCAGCATAAATGTTAAACAATGAAATCGTAATCTTCAGGTCAATTATGAACAATTATTTCCCGGGAGTTTGTTCCCTTTTGCGTGCTCTAAGGAATAGGTGTAGGAACAGTATCATATGGTGGGCATAACCGACTTTACACTCCTACTTGTTTTTACATAAGAAGTAAAATTTTGAAAAATTTAAAAAACTTTTCAATTGCCTCCACCAAATTTCATAAGATTATTATTTGAATTGTAATGTATTTAGATGACTCTCAATGAATGTGTGTGTGGGTCGGTAGACTCTTGTATAGAATCAGGTTTTAGCTCGTTCTGTATATCCGTCTGTCCAGTTGTTAATAAATTGCCTCGGTTGCCTGTTTTGGCAAATAGTTTTGTAATTTGTTCCCATATTTACAGGAGCAGAGTGTATGTATTTTAAAATAAATTCAACATAGTCTTTGTAGTAACAAAACAATACAAAATAGAATGGTACCATTTACAAACACAATAAACCATACGTAGCTAAATATTAGAGGCTCATGTTGTTGTTGCTGTTGTAGTAGTAGTAAATCGGAAACTGGGGCTTCTGTGTAAATGATACTATTATGTTTCCTATTGTTTTTGGTTTTTTATTATTTATATTTTGATCAGATTATTAATCTCTATTGTTGTCCATTAACCACCAACCCACAAACTAAAACAACAACAACTATGGTAATAATTGTGTATGAATGGTTCTAAATGCTGGTCATTTTTCTTTAAACACACTCCAATGGCCTTTAACCTTCAACTTTAAGGGACAGCCTTTTAGGAAATGTTAAAATTTATAAATTTTGTTTTTAAATCCCCATTGATCATTAGAGGATTAATAATAATAGTAGTAATGGTTTGTTTATTGTTTTATTTTATAGTTTGGCTTCTATTTATGGTTTTAGTAACAGCTCTCTCTAATAATGTAGGAATGTGTGAGTGTGTATTTGTGGTTTTTAAACTATAAAAGTGAAAAAAGGTTTTCACACTTGCCATTGTGGTAAATGCCCGGAAACTTTGGGTGTCTATTTCGACTAATAAGACTTTGAATTGAAATGTAGAAGGACCATTCAGTGGTTTACTAGGGTGCATTAAAATGACAATTGACTCTAACCTAGATTACCTGTAGCCAGATTAGTAATTAGTTATACATTATAAAATAAATTAAACCACAAAAATTTTAGTTAGTACATAGACTACTTCCAAAACTGCTAGGATATTTATCATTATAACAAATAACAACAACAAGTCGTCATCAAATTAACAATTGATTTCATTGGTCATTGTTATCATAAGTGTGTGAGCGTGTGTCTATGCATTAGTAGAAGTGTGTTATTTTCCATTTTATTGTTTTATTTAATAATTATAAATTTTATAGGGATTATAATTTGGCAACTCATTTTTATACAAATAGAAAATATATTTTTTGTTAAATTCAATTTGTAATAATGATGTATGTATCTGTGTGTGGTCAATGTTCGCTGTAGTATTAAGGAGTTTTTGTATTTTGTGGCCCATTTAATGGTGTTTTTGTTTTTCACATAAAACGGGTGTCATCGATATCTTCTTCACACAATTCCAATCTTTTGTTTGCAATTTTATCATTTTCAAATGTCAACAGAATCAATCTAACGTGTGAATGGATTTTAAATGTGAAAAAATATTTTAAAGGAGGCGGACTGTTATCTAGTGGCTTCTTCCCATAATACGCAAAATCCTTTGTTTGAATAATGATATATATTTTAGTTAACATCAAAACTAATTATAAAAATTTCATAAATTGTTTAGGAATCTTATTTTCAATATTAATTCAAACAAATTATTTGAGGCTGAGTTCGATTCTCATCTAAAGATATAATTTTGAAAAAAAATCTATAACTGATGCGATTTTTTGAATTTAGATAAAAGACTCCTGAAAACATATCTAAACATGACGAAAGTATAACCAAACTAAATAAAAAAATAAAAGGTTTATTTTGAACAATGAATTTAGAATTTCGAAAAAAGGCTTGTTAGAGGAACGTAGCAACAATTTGTCGGTATTTCAAAAAATTCCGATTTATTTGTTCAAAATTATATAAAATATTGTTGGTAATTGAGTAAACAAAAATACTGTATTCATAGTCAATTTAAAATATAAAATTA